GCTCGCAGGAGCTCACCTGCCCTTGGGAGGGGGAAGATGGAACTGACAGAAAGCCACTAGCTTCCACCAAGGGTATCTGCTCCTCTAAGCCATGCAGCCCGGTCTTGCGCCATAAACAGGTGGGGTGAGCATCATCCCTGGGTGGGGACCCTGGGGCGGATTTCCCAGGAAAAAGTGAACTTGGGGGGGACTTTTAGGGCTCCTTGGGTCAGGTTTGTCACACAGTGAAGTAAAGTTACTGCCCATCTCTCCCTACCATGAACAGGAGGAGATTCCACACCATCAGTGATCTATCTACCAGACATACATGGGGCCTGGATCTTATCCCGGCTCTCTGCCCAGGGATGAACTGTCCCAGTGACAGAGGGGGATTATAAGGGATGTTACCAAAGCTGTTCTTTGGCTTCTTCAGCTGGAAATTGTCACTCATGGTCCTCTCCCTCTCCTCCTCATCCCACATTCATCTCAAAGTGACCACATCTCAACCTTCCTTCCCTTTTCAAACACATCTCTCCACCCCACATTTCCACCCAAGACAAATGGCCATAAGTCATTTGGTTTTCCTGCAAGGAAATGAAAAATCATGTGAGGATCTGCATCCTCTTCCCTCTCCTCCAGAAGTGGCTCAGACAAGGGTATGGATCGGAATAGTACAGAGCCTGTGTTCAGAGCTAGTCCCAGGGGTCTGAGAAATGCTACAGCTCCTTCCAGGTGGGTTATGACATGAAGACAAAAATGATTCAGGCCCAGCCAAGAAATGGCCGATGCGAGAGCAATGGAGGAGTCCTGCCATCCTGGCACAGAGCCTTCTCCTCTTGGCCGCACTGGAGGCACGGCTTTACGAAGAGCTGTACTTGTTACTCAAGCGGGAGATGCTCTGGTCCAGCCCGAGCTCCTGCCCATTGGCTTTCCACTTCCCAACAGAGCCCTTGTCATCCGTCGGTGTGATGCTCAGAGCAGGTCTCTGGCACCAGCAGCACAGGCAGGACTGCGAGGAGACAAAAGTGGGGAGAGAGAGGTTACAGGTGTGGGTTGTAGGGTAAAAGAGAAGGAAATATTCCGTTACTGGTGCTGGCAAGTCAATGTGCACAGTGCCAGGCCGGGGATCGCAGCCTGCACTTCCAAACTTTGCCATCCTGCAGATCTGCTGGGATCAGGTTTTCCATGGTAGGGCTGGTGTGGATTGGAAATGAAGATACTGAAATCTTGGGTACCTTTTGAAGTTGTGTTTTCTTATCCTTAGGGTACAGAAAATACAGGTAATGCTTAGCTGGGCTCAGCTCTTTTTGACACTGCAGCTAAGAGGTGATTCTCTTCCCATCCCTTTCTATCTCTTCTCGTCTCACCCCTTTCCTTTCTCAGGGCTCGACTACTTCTGAAAATGATCTTTGAATAACTTGGGCTCAACATTTAAAGCATCCCATCTCTGGTCTAATGGTTTGTGGGGATGTTTCTGATTCAGAATGAGAGGGACTTTTTTTGCTTGTCCTGCACTGGCAAAAGACCTCCCATCAGACAGCAACAAGCTCTGGCATACTGGGAGCTGGGAAGAGAAGCATCTAGCAAGGGGAAAAACTGGGATAAATATGATCATTACATGAACAAATGGGAGAACCCTGTGGGCTGGTGGCAGCTCCTTTCCATTCATCTCAGGAACACAGAAGTCTGCTGCAATGGGGTTGTCTCTATCTGCACCGTGTCTGGTCCATGGGAGCTTATGCTGGTGTCTGGGAATGGTCACTGTAGCCAGGAGCTCTGGAGGGATCAATCCTACCTGGAAGCAGTTCTTGAATTTCCGGCTAACGAAGTAGAGAGCCACAGGGTTGATGCAGGAGTTGAGGGAGGCCATGTTGATCCCGAAGTAATCCATCACAAGGAGGAAACTGAGGCCAGAGGAGAGAGAAGAGGGCAGGCGTGTTGGAAGCTCACAGAGCGGAGAACTGAGGGAGGGTTTCCAAACTCCCTGTACATTGCCTGACCCAGAAGCCTGCTTCCATGGAGGGCTGGCGACTGATAACATACAGCTTAGCACAGAACAGTCCCTCCCACAAATGGGCAACCACCCCATGTTTTTTTCTTGTGAGAAGCATTTCCTAAGGAAAACAAAAGCATGAGATCTGATTTCCCCTGGTAACTTTGATGTTTTCAAACTCAGGCAAACTCAAGTAGCTGTGTCTGGTCTGAACTGGATTTTAGTGTGGTTGGTACAGAGGAGAGAGGAAGACGGGCACCTACCATGTGTCAAAAAGTGTGCACAGCCCTCAAATGTCCTGCATCCCCTGTAGCCCTGCAGGGATTTTTTTTTCTGCCCAGGAGCCCTCTTTAACCCACAGCTTTATAGAAACATTTCAAATTTTAATTTTTCCTCTTATAATGGTCCCTCCCCACCCTTTGATTTTGCTCAGAAGAGCAATGCCATCTACAATAGGAGCTACTGAAACAAGGTGTTTGGAAGGCAACTCCACCAGCCTGACATGAGTCCACAGAGCCTCTGCCAGTGGCCGCTGGGGCTACCAGCCCGGTGCCCTCTTGCTGCTGCCCCTACCTGAGCAGCTCACATCTGTTGGGGTCCATCTGGTCATAGATGGTCTTCTTGAGGATGCGGCTGAGGTGGAGAGGAAGCCAGCAGAGTGCAAAGATCACCACGAGGCAGAACACTGTCTTGGCCACCTCCCGGCGCTGTGAAGAGAAGGTGGTCAGGAGAGAAGGGGTCTGGCTGAGCATTAGGGTGCAAATGGAGCAAAGTACCATCTCCCCATGCTCAGCAAGGGCCCTTCAAGTAATTTCTGTAGACTGATGATGCTGGGCACCTGTTTTGAAGCCCAAAGAAAAACCTAAAGGTTCTAAATCCTGTATCATGAGGAAGACTGACATCCAGGCTGCAGAAGGGTGTAGGGTACGAGTAGCACAATATGGACCAGACTCACACCATTGCTCCTGCTGACTTTGCTGGGGTGATATTCCCTGGAACATGGGGAGTATATCATAATCAATGGGGATATCCATCATCCATCCACCCTTCACTCTGTATTACTCTGACAACCAGCTGCTCTGCCTCAAGGGATCACTCTGCAAAGGGTAGGAGGGGACAATAAACTACTCTTTTTCCCTGTACCCCTTGTCTGTGATAAGGCATATTCAGCATCTTGTCCAGTTTGGCATGATCTGGGCTGGCACAGCATGGCCAGGGATAAATGACCATAAGAAGTTGGAAATCAAGCTGGTCCATGATCATAAGGCTAGTAGTTTGGGTTGTCCTTGAAGCTGGAGACTGTAAAGCTGAAGGCTTATCTCCCTGGTTTAATCCAGTGTGCCAATATCTGTTGACCCCTCTGAGGCTATGTCAGCTCATAGAACCATAGAATCATGGAATGGTTTGGATTGGAAGGGACCTTAAAGCTCATCCAGTTCCAACCCCTGCCCCGGGCAGGGACACCTTCCACTAGAGCGGGTAGCTCCAAGCCCGTGTCCAACCTGGCCTTGAACACTGCCAGGGATGGGGCAGCCACAGCTTCTCTGTGCTCATACGAGTCCTTCACAGGGGCAGGTGCATGATCCCTTCAGTAGCTCTCCCTCCTGTTTGGGAGATACCAGTTTCTGCCTTCTTGGTTTTCTTACCCGTTTCATGTGGTCATTCAGAGCAGTTCTCATGCCGTTTCTCTTGCTCAACATCTCACATGACATGAGGGTGTAGAAGATGCCAGTGCATACCAAGGGGAGGCAGAAATAGAAGCCAAAAAGCCACCAGTCCTTCACATCATGGTAGAACTACAGGCAAAGGAAAAAGCAACTGGAAACTGGGGAAAGGTGGGGGGATATGTGGGGCATGAGCTGACCTGGTCCCTGACAGTGATGCTGGCCTGAATCAGACACTTCTGATGTGTGGAAGTGTGTTAGCTCCTGTGCTAAGTGCACATATTTCCCGCAAGGTTGGTGCATGTGTTCTAACCTACAGCAGTAAAGGCTGGTTTACATCTGGCTGACAGTCCCATCTAGCACTCCTGTCCAAGAACCAGCTGCAAGGAGCTTTTGTGTATAAGGGTTTTCATTCCCTTGCTTGCCCTTAGGTGGCCCTGTGATAAAGGTTACCCATGCAGGCTGTTTGTGGAGAACCTCTTTGGCCTGCTGGAACAGTGAAGCAGGTTCTGAAGCTTCCTGAGATGTGTCAGGGCCTTCTGATGTGGATGGTGAAGACACGATTTAGCTTAACAATGATCAGGTCTGTTTTCTGGACCCAGATTAGAAGCAGTTCTGCACCTTGCCACTAAACTGCCTTGTCTGATACTGCTCTCCCTGTGCTCACCCTCATGGCTAGAAGAAGCCATCTACAGAAGCATCTGTAGATGCTCTAGAGGATGTAGATCCTCTAACCAAGGAGAAAGGATGCTTCCATTGCCTGTGTCTCCCTCTCCCTTGCAGTGCAGCTGGGGTGCAACAGAATACATACCATCATGAACCTGGATTTCTGTTCGGAGGCAAGCATGCACACCCAAAGGTGTTGTTCCCAGTAGCTGAGCTCCACCATGTCAAAGGCTATAGCTTCAGGCACTGCAAGCACGATGGCCACTGCCCAGATCAGCATCACCTCCACTGCCTTCCACATGGGGATTCCTATCCCCTGGATCCGACTCCAGGACGCCACTGCTCGGTACCTGCCCAGAGTGTGGAAACACAGCAGGAGTAGGTTAGAGTGAGGAAAGCAACTGTCAGGAAGGGGCTGAGAAGGTGCAGAGCAGAGTTGTCCCCAAAGACCCTTCCCTTATGCCTTCCTTCTCCACCTTTGAACCTTCCCTTTCAGTGGAATGGGAAAGATCAAAGGGCTTGATAGCAGCTGTCCTCGGCCAACATCTACTTGCCACTGGGGAGATGCCACCCTTCCCCACCACCCCAGCAGTTGTTCCAGCACATCATGACCCTCCCCTCAACCTTTTCCAGCAGGATTTAAACTGTCACCAGAGTCAGTTCCTGATGGATTTCAACTCTACATGACAGCACTCTGTCTCCACCTCTGAATTTGTCCCGGGACCAAGCTGCCCTCCAGTCTGCCTTTTAGTTACAGAGAGGGTACCTGCTGTAAGTCAAATATGGGTCAGGCTGGGCAGTGCAGCTGTAGAAGTGCTTCTCACCTGTCAATGCTGAGAGCACAAAGGCTGAGGACCGTAATGCCTACTGAAGCCTTCTGGATGAAGGGGACCAGCTTGCACACCTGCACACCAAAGGGCCAGTCCTTTGCCAAGAGCTGGGGAAGAACCACAGTGTTAACAAACTGCTACAGGAAAGCATGTCCAGCTTTCTGACTGAGCAGGTGGTTACCCACAAGGTATGAGAAGCCCACAAAGAGCAACTGCAAGCACTCTGAGGTTCCCTCGCTGGGATTACTCAATGTGTGCTGTCCGGTGTTTTGTGTTGAACTGGGAATCATTTGTTTCCTCAAGGGCTCAATGTGAGGTGTGTTGACAGTTAGACAGAAGGATGGTCCAGACACCAGGACCTGACCCCGGACTCTGAATGGATCTGAATCCTAAGTGCTGCAATGGGCTTTGGGTCGCAAGGACAGCTTCTTTCGGGTGGCTTTCAAAGCCACCCTTATCATACTCTGACCCTTTACCACACTTAGATTCCTTATAGAACACATACTGGGGCCCCAGGCTGAGCTGGGGCAAGCAGAGGGTATCAGTGGGGACAAGATGCTCTGAAGGCAGGAGAAATCCAGGGTACTCCCTCATAAGGGTGAGAGTGACAACCTGACACCTGAAGCCCACCCCAAGGTTACCCGTACTCAGAACCAAGCTCTTTAGTTTGGCCTCAGCAGCAAGACAAATCAATCGGGAGAACATGTCTGTTTCAAGCTAAAAAACCTTCATAGTTTTCAGTTGACTTTCACTTGAAGGATATCTACTCACAGTGATTTCAGACCCTCTGCCAGCCACATCTGGTTGTTCTCAACTTCTCCCTACTCCAAATTTCTCTGCCTTCTCCCCCCAGCATCCAGCCAGCTTGATCCAGGACTCCTCTGGCACTCTGTTTGCACTTTTAAGGCCAAAGCTTCCCTTTGGCAAACAAACCCTGTGGAGCTCCAACTCCATCTCACAGCACCCCTTCCAACCCTTCACAGAAACCTCTGGCTCCAGAAACTCGAGCAGTGGGTGAGAAAGAGCTGTAATAGCTCAGATGCATCTCACAGATACTGTAACACGACTTCGGCTCTTAACCGGGGTCTCATTCAGGTCTGCTGCAGAGCTCAGGCTCCCCTGCTTCTTTGCGTGCCTCTTCTCTCATGTTTAGGAGGCAGTGCTTCTGCAAGAAGCCCCTGGTTTATAACACAGCTCTCTTCCTTGTTCCAGGAAGAGTCTCCGCATTTATCTAAAATAAAAACTATATTGGCTTGAGGCTGATTAACTGACCTGTGCTGTGAGAAGTGTGCCCAGTGCACAAGAACAAGAATTTTTGCTCAGCTGAAAGCAACATTGTGTTGCAATGTCAGAAGACTGCAAGTGATTCTTTTCTTACAATTTTAGATGAGACTGAAAAGATCTGCAAGGTTGCGTGCTTGTGTGTGTCTGTGTAACGCAGCTGTAGCTGGAGACACCTCTGCTTTCCTAGGAATGTACTCTGAGCTTTTTGTCTGTTTATGTTTTTCTCATCCTTTGGAGAACAGAAACACCCTCCTTGCCTCCCCTGCCAAAACGTAATGCAAAAAGGAGCAGGCTCGTTTTGATGCCTCTGTCCCCAGGGCACAGAGGCAGGCGGGAGCAGATCATAGAATCAGAGACTTGTTCGCAACGGAAGGGACCTTAAAGCTCAGCCAGTTCGAAGCCTCTGCCACGGGCAGGGACACCTTCCACTAGAGCAGGTTGCTCCAAGCCCCTGTGTCCAACCTGGCCTTGAACACTGCCAGGGATGGGGCAGCCACAGCTTCTCTGGGCAGCCTCTACCAGATGCCTCCCCTGCAATTGCCAGGCTGCTGCAGCACTCATGCTGCATGGAACCTACCTTATACACATTGATGGGCAGAGCAATGAGGATGTAGAGCAGGTCTCCAAGTGCCAAGCTGGCAATGAGGACATTCGGCCCATTTCTCATGCACTTGTTCTTGTAAATGATCCTCAGGAGTGTGGAGTTGCCAATGATCCCTACTATGAAGATAGTGCAGGACACGATGGTGTTGATATATTTGAAGATGTGTCTGATATCTGCGGGCTTCACACACACAGGCAGCAGGGGTGGCTCAGAGCTGGTGCTCCTGGAGAAGCTCTCCGAGTAGTTCGACTGCCTGTTATCCTGGAACAGGCTTGGCTGGACCAGGCTGTAAACCTGATCCTGGCTGACCACCTCGAAGGGGACGGTGCTCTCCTGGAAAGCCCTTGGGGTCTGGCTGTGTGCCCCAGAGAAGAGGCAAGCCAGGAAAATGGCCAGAGTGGTGGGAGCTGGGACTTTTGCCATTGAGGACTGACCAGCTAAGCTGGCTGTAGGAGTCCTCATAATGCTCAGGGGACGCCCTTGCGTGGGTCTCGATTGGATCTGTAGATGGAGAGAGGAACAAGGGAGAGAACAGGGTGAGCAAGGGAAGGAGAAACGAGATGAGAAAGTCCATCATCACAGTGAGCAGAAATAACACCAGATGAGATCCCATCTGGGCAAAGCCAGACCCCTGTGTGTGGGACTCTTCACTCCTAAAACTGAACATGCCTGCTTAGTGAAACAAACTACAAGGAAAACAGTCTTTTATGCCTCTTACCCAGTATTTCAGCAGATGAGGGCACCTGCCTTTTCTCAAATCAGATCCTGTAATTTCTGACCTTGGTATTGCTGCTCACATGGCAAATCTGGATTCTCTTTTATGCCCAGCCCACACTTTTCTTTCAGTTCTGACTGTCTGAAGGAGTAGTTCTGGGGTGCCTGCCCTGTCAACACCAGCACATCTGGGCAATTCCACAAACCCCATCTCAGGGTGCACAGACCCGCAGAACCTTTTCTTCCAGTTTGTGCCACAGGAAGGCTGAAGCCACACTAACATCCCTCTCTTCAGCAAAGCCTATGGGCTACCACAGGCCACTTCCCAGTGCAAAGTGGAAAGACCCAGTACAGCCTTGCTGGGAACTGTGATGGGAAAACACTGCAAGGGTTTTTCCAGAAATGCCCTATTGATACCTGACATCTTACTCCAATTTATATGCAAGGAGTACAGCCCCTCCTTCCCCATCCTTATCTTTGTTAATTGAAGCTCTTCCTTTCCAAATCCACTGTACCCATTCAACTCAATACTCAGGGATAAAAATCTCCCTGTGCTGTTTGCAACTTTGACTGCTGAGCATAGTAAAAAGTCTCTCAAGCTCACCAAGGCTGGAGCACTACTACTAAATATCACCAGAGTGGGTTCTGCTTTGTAAATCTCAGACAGTACCTTCAGGCAGGACTAGCTAAACTGCTGCTCCACAACCACAGGAGGAAGCTGGGGACGGCTGTAGCAAGGTCTTGGCATGACGTGAATTAGTGGAAGGGGATTCTGGATGAGCCAGATAGGATCACCTGTAGGAAGTGAGCCCAGAGAGGGAGTGGAAGATGTTGGCACCTGCCAGTCTGTGCCCCAGACAGGGAGAGACCTTGGGTCTCCTGGCCTCAGTGGGTGAAGAACTGTTTCTCAAACTATGAAACTTTACAGCTTTGAAGGGAGGAAAAATTGTTGTGCCTAGGCTAGAAACAGGAGCCTTTTTGGGCTCCCCTGGGATGTGGTCTGCTCTGGAGGAGCCAGTTAGGCAGGAATCAGGGTGCCTGCATGGGATTAGAGATGGGACTTCCCATACCACTCTGACTCCACCAGGCAGAGTTGGGATCTGAGCCCAACCAGCTGTACCACAGGGATCTGCTCCCCAGGACCATTCAGCCAAGGCACTCCTGAGCTGTAGCACAGTTCCCCCCACCCAGGACCAGGGAGACCCCAGGACCAGCAATGTGGGTATGGTGGGAGCATGCCGTTCGCACTTTGGGAAGGCATGGCCAAACCAACCACCAGTCCCATCAGGTAAAACCGCAGCTTCTCTCGATACAGCTGTGCATTCATTGTGTGCTGTGGCCTCAGGCCAGGCTTTGCAGAAGTGTCTGGCCGTGCAGCTATGTTGGGAGAAGAAAGGAAGGGAAAGAATGGATAAATAACCTGATGGAGCACGAACCCAACTCACTGGAGACCTGGGCACAAGTCCGTGCCCTGACTTGGTGCAGGGACTTTAGCCTGCACCTTTGCTAAAATCCTCAGCTTTCTGTCTTGCCCCAGGCCACACCAGGGGCAGTTGTCCCATGGGTGGATGCCCTGACCGGTGCCCTCCTCTCCTCCCCATCATGCCCACAGTATTGCAGCTTATCAGAGAGGGCACCCAGCTCAGAACTCCTGCCTGGGATCCTTGAGGGTCTGGGCAGCTCATAGGGAGCACCTCTGGATGGCACAAACATGTGTCTGCCACCCAGGGCTGTCGGGGGGCTTGGAGGAAGACTAGCTCCTCGAGTCAGCAGCCATCATAGCGGCATCAGAGCATCCCTGGAAAGTTGTGTCCTGCGCCCTCTGCAGCAGTGGGCACTGATGTCCTGATGCAGGACTACAGAGTGTGGCTGTTCAGCCCCTGCGTATTTGGCAGAAGAGCTCATGTGAGTATCACAGGGCACAGCTCACTGGACCCTGCCCATCCCCTCCAGAGCACAGCGCAGCACTTCCCCACCACCCCCCACCCCCTGTCTTGCCTTAAAATCTAGCAGTGCAGTAAAAGAGAACCATTGTTTTCTCCTGCTCAACAGCCCATTCACTTCTTGCCCCCCATGCTCTCACATCTTGGAGTGCTTGGAAACATAACCCTTTCTCAGTTGTGGGGGAAACTGTGGACGAGAGAGCATCAAGAAGCCAGTTCAGTGCCTAGAAGATGTGAAGGCAATGCCAGCATCACTTGACCCCAAATCCTCTGGACTTTGCCCATGCTGCTGATCATCTGGGGACACAACTTGGTGCCTGAAGAGGCCATCCCCATCCCACCTGCCTGCCTGGGGTTCTTCTGTTGGCAAACTGCTTAGACACATGGAAGTGGAAATGCCCTTTATGCTGTGCTCAGTCCAAACTGCAGCTGAAACCACTGGAGTCAGGATGTAGACATTGCAGAATGATTCCCAGAGAGGAGATGAGACTGACAAACATTGCCATAGCCCTGCACAGCCTGCTTCTGTCTGAAAGGTGCCATGTGCAGGCTGGGGGGCCTGGGTCTTCTCTTGCCTGGGAGGTCAGCACATCTCAGGCAGTGTCCTCATCTCAAGCCAAGCCACCCCCTCCACCATGGCACTCAGGGCAGGATGCCAGCAAGAGCAGCTCTGCTTGTGCTCTCCTTCCAAACTAACCTCACCAAACCAAAACCAGACCTTTTCTGCAAGAAAAAACATCTCTTGCAGCAAAAATGCCATGGGGGGTGCAAAGGAGGGAGAAAGGCAGATGACAACACCGCATCCCCAGCTGCTTCCCTGACCTGACCCCAGTCTGGTCGGTAAACAGAAGGACCTTCCCCCTGAGGTATGCTGGATTTCTCCTCATCCACCCTCTCCCTGTACCTGCTCAGGCACCGTGGTCCCAGTGTGTGAGCTGGCTGGGGGTGGGGAACTGAACAACGTGCAAGAACTCACCCTGGTGCGAGAAATCACCTTGTTTGCAAACGAGCACACACAGCACAGCAAAGCTTCCCAATGGGGGTAAGTTACCTTCATTGTGACCACGAACTTTGGGTGCTGCTGGAGTCAGTTTCTTTCCCTCTCGCAGCTCCTTCCCACTTCACAGGCTGCTGGGCATGTTCTGCAGGTCCTGGGAGAACTGCAGTGTTGTAGATCCTGGAGTTTGCTTTTGCACATGGAATGGTTCTTCCCTCTCATGACTTGCTGAGGTCTCTCTGAATGGAGGGGTTGGTTATATACAAAACCACAAGGCTCCCCCCGAGCCCAGCCCCTGTGACCAATGGGCGAAGCGCGGGACAGGGATGGAGGAGGGTGAAGCAGAACCGCGGCGCTGCTCTGCGAAGGAGGCGAAAACAGTCTCCAAGTAAAGCTCGAGGGGGAGGGAGGGTGCAGGGAAGCTGCCGGCCGCAGAGCAGCGCGTCTGCTTCGCACGGCCCAGCTCCGAGGAGCCCCGAGGCTGCGCTCTGGGGAAGGAAGCTGAAGCACCGACCACCTTTGGAGAAGAGAGACATCAAAGCCTTCTCTGCGCGGGGTGTATGAAGGCGGCTGCTCCACCTGGAGCTTGTGAGGGAATGCTGGGGAGCAAGGAAGGCAGAGGGGACTCGTGGTTTCCATTCTAGCAGAGAGCACAGAGTCTAACAGGTACTTACTGAGATGCTGGGGAAGGACAAGCCTCGCTTTTCCCTCTGACCCAGTCTCCCCGAGCCCTGCTCCAGGTGAAGCAGGCTGGGAACAGGTTTCCAACCATGCTCCCATCTGCAAGAAGTTGCACTGTTGTCTTTTCACATGCCAGCTCTGGGGTTTTTTGCTGTGGTTCCGGAGCACCCTGAGCTGCCTGAGGAGCAGCAGCTGATGCTCAGGGTGCAGGGCAGAACCTGAGCGCTGGTGCTGCTGTAGGGTCACACCAGCCTCCCCCATCCACCACACATCCAGTCCGGGCTCTGGGCACCTCTCTGCTCTCCACCTGCCTTTAAATAGGAGATCATGACCAGTGCTTTCATGAGGCTCCTCCTGTCTTTCTCCAAACCGTACGATCCTGCACACAGTTAGTGCTGCTGCACAGCCTGCCTCTTCTCCTGCAGACAGACCTTCTCTCAGCCTCCTGGGCCGGTGTCTTTAAAGGGTGCCAGGAGGTGACTTCCCACCATTCCCTAAGGGTGTCCGCCACTCTGCACCCTTACACTCCCAAACAGGTCAGGAAATAAGCACCTCAAATAGCTCATCCCCACCCAGGGCAGAAGTCATGGCATCCCGGTGGATGCCTCCTTTAACCCTGTGGCTGGTTTGGAGGGCTGCAGCCTTTCCTTAGCTCTTTTCCCAGAGCTCACGAGCCCACGTGGCACCTCTCCCCCTGGCCCCACTGAAGAGGTATCCTGCAGCCCTATTTTGGGACAGTCATGTTTCTGCATGTGACAGGGGCATGAATGGGCCTTTCTTTTCTGCTGGATTCAAAGGAGGGCTCCAGCCCCCTTCAGAGACCCCCAGGAAAATGGCAATTTCTTGTACAGAGTCGAATAGTGCCCTTGAAATACAACTCAGTTTCAAGGCTGATGGCAAGAGTCACTTAAGTCATCACAATGAAGAAATTCATCTGAAGCAAGCCACGGTTCAATCCAGCAGCAACCAGCAACGCAGCTCCGTGCAGGCAGGCAACAGCTCATGGGATCTGTTTTGCACAGACTGCTTTTATGTTTTAAAGAAGACATATCAAGTGGAATTAATTTGGCTTTCTGCTGCCAATTGGGTTTAACTGGTTCCGATGCAAGCAGCACAGAAGATGGCTTGGCACGATTGTCTAGTCCTGAGCATGGCCAGCTCA